CACCCACTAAAAATGGATGTCTATGGCTGTGATGACTGCCCTTTTTGCGCAATCCCGCATAATCATTTCCCCCCCCCTTTTAAATTAAAAAATACCAACAGTGCTGAGCAATGATGTGAAAGGTGCGTGAAAAGTTAAGGATAATATTAACGTTTTTATAAAAATATTATATTATCTTTTGAGTAGTAAATTTTTCAAGCTTGAAGTGTTGTTTGATAGTACATACAATTTGTGTGCAACCTTAGTATACCAGAAAGAACGGTTCGGTGGCGGTTGAATGCAAATTTGAACCACCAATTTTTCAAAACCAAAAATGACGATCGGCCGATTCACAAATAATGCATTACCCACAACAAAATTAATAAAGAAAGTACCTATACGAAAACTTAGCATCCAAGAATTAAAAAAATGAACGATGCACAATTAACTTGCCCAAAAAAATTACTGTTACTTCACTGTATGGTTAACGCCTCAAACGAAATAATTTTAATAGTATTTGATACGTCATATGAACACGTTTTTAAAGTGCAAGCTTCTAATAAATTAACAAATTAAATCTTAAGAGCAAGCAAATATACACGAGATTCCATATCTTTTTAAATTATAGTGTAGTTAAAAAATTTAAATTAATTAACCTTATATTTATTCATATTAGAAACATACAATTTGAGTATGTTGACTATTATGGAACAGGAATACTATAATAATAATAACCAGATCAGGAATGGATACTGAGCTAAAACATAATAATAAAAGCCTTTGTTCAGATTGGGTGACAATATAAGTTAGGAATATGGTTTATTATTCGGTTTCCATCCGTGTGTCGATGACGACAGAGGTTTGGTTCTGGATCCATTTAATGAACATTATTTTTTTCGATTGTTACGATAAAATCACATTGCATATTCTGTGAATTACAAAAGTCATCATAGCTTTATTAAGCCACTTTGTTCATAGATAAAAGCCTTAAAATAATTATATTAATATTAAATTCATACAATATATCATGATAGCAATTGTTTGCATAAATGATGAAGTTCCCCTTTCAAATGTGATGTTCGTCTACAAAGTGAAGTTTAAAGTAGCATTCATACGTGGAGACACATTGATTGGTTTAAAACCTTTCTACGTCTATTTAGGTGTCTGTGGAGTAAACTTTATATTTAGTTTTTACTATTATATTAAATTTATGTAATTCCAACATTCAACAGTATTGAAATTATTCTCAACCTACATAATAATATTAATTAAAAATTGATAAATAGAAAATTAAAACAAACTTAAAAAGTGGCAGTGTTACTATTATTATTAATATTGTTTTTTTTTGTTTTACAAAAATAAATTGTGTTGTAAAAATACACATATAATCCATGCTTGTGTCTAAGCATTTATTATAACATAATTTAAAATTGCGTTTGTCATTACATTTGCCATACACATTTGTCACTCACGTTTTGAGCATGAAAGCAAATTTATTACAGGTTGTCAATGAATTTTTTATAAATAGCGATATCAATGACTGATGTATTAATAAAATTAGGTACGTATGTTAGGTCCACATGGCTACTCGATTAGTTGGCGATATTACCTCCGTAGGGGCGGATAGAGCTGCGCAATGCACAGTAGTTAGTATGCATGCTCTGAGACCGACCATATTTTACTCGAGGAAATTACATTAAGAGCGTTCGGCTTGAAACGATAATTACGTATTTGAGAGCTCAGTGAAAGCTTTGCAAATGCTCACAGTAACTTATTCCCTTCTAATTTAAGAGCTTGATTTCTTAAAGGAAGTTGTGTTTTAGTTATCCAATTGGATAAAATTGGTATTGGTAAAAAACCTTCTGTGATGACGTCTCTCTCGTTTTTAAAGAAATTAAATTTAAACGAAATTTATTTAAATGAAAATCCTACACGAAATGAATAATTGAGTAACAAGCTAGCTAAAAACGATAAAATCGAAGTGAGTCGGTATTTATTTATCAAAAGCGCTCGTTTATCAACTCTGCCCCAGTGCGGACAATCGTTTATTTTAGCTCGGAATTAAAACGAAATGTATCACTCTCCAGCGGGCAACACACTAAGTAGTTTATACTTTAAGAATACTATTTATGCAATCCTTGCTGCCAGGCACTTCTCTTAACGATTGAAGAAATACGTATCTCACTAGATCAAGTGTTGTATAAGAGGAATCGAATTTATTTGTTTAGAAATTAATTTATTCACATTTATGAGAAAATCTTTGTTTTAGATCTTTTTAGATTTCTAGTTAAATCATAATGCGGTAATATTAATGGCATTTTAGTCTACGTAGTTATTACAAAGTACTTACGTGTGAATAGTATTTTTGTGATACAACTCTTAAAAAGTAATTCTATTAACTGTAATTAAGTGAAAAAGTTGCAATAAAAAGTTCTTAGTGCCAATTTTCTCAACATTTGACAACGCTTAAACAATGAAAGCGCCGCCTGCACTTCACAGCATTTCCATCCATGAATGGTTCGTTACCCGCATGGAATTTCGATTTTGCCCATTACGAAAATTGCGAACAGCTCCAAGAAACATTATCACAGTATTAAACTAAAGCGTCACGGCTCATGCCGTACGAGTTGTATAAGTCAACACGAGTAATAAAGAGGATTTAAGTCGAAACAGGTCCTCATAGGCTTAGCGACTTCGCTAACTACCTCTTTGATAGCCCCTAAAGCCTTAATCTACTTCAACTTGCTCTACTCGAGTTATTAAAGCTTACTTACACAGTTTCTTAAGTACATAATTTTCTCCAAGTTAAATTATAAATATGAGGTATAAAACTTGTATTATTTGATAAGTTACTTAAAGAGTAACTAAAAGTTACAATAAGCTCCTCGGTAAAGTGATAGCAATAAATACTTTTAAAAGCCGAGTTTAACTTTATAAGTGCCTCATACAACAACATAATGACAGAAAAACTTGGAGTTCTATATTGTTTATCAATTTAAACTTGACCAAGTTAAAACTACTTCGTGACATAATAAAAAGCCTTGTGCATTTTCAATGAAAACAAAGGTAATTCATTTCATGAATAGTGAAACGAGAAATTCAAAATTCTCTCGAAGAGTTAGTGATATTGAGTGAGCGTCTTGAACTAAAATTGAATAATAACTCGTCGGGCGCAGTGTATTGCATAAAATATAAGGTCACACTGTACCGTATATTTCTGAGACAGATTGATATTACATCGCGCCAATCCAATAGCTTATTTTATCATATCTTTTACATTTTAGAATAAAATTACACTATATTTTAAAACAAACTTAAATTCATTAATCCTATAAAATAATATTTTGGGTGCACTCCCCCGTGAGTCCTGAAAATAGTCCTAAGGATGTTGGCAGTGTCCGTCTGATCGGCGTAGAAGTTATACAATAAAGTTTGAACTTTTGTCTTTGTACACTTGTACACATAATATGTCTTACTTATTTTGCCTGTCTTAAAAGAGAGCCTCCGCGGGTGAATCTGCCCGGAGAAAATTAGAACTACTACAGGAGACCTTTCAAAATATTAGTTTCTAAATGATTATTTCGTATACTCACCACCTTAAAATATTAAACTTTAGAGCAAAAACTATTTCCATTAATAGAAGATTTACGATCGTTCCGATAACACTTCATTGCACTCGAGACACGGTGCTAAATAGTAAATACAAGTTCAGAGTCGGTGAACGATAAAAATCCTCTAGAGATCGACTCTACAACAAATGTTCTGAAGTGAGTGAAGATTTAACTCCTCCCAGATGCGCTTTAACATCTTACAGCTATTGACATTTACGACTTACGTGAACTTTTTGTAGATTCTATAAATTGTGTTTTTAGACTTTTCGATTTTGTATCATATGCCCAAAGCTATTCACAAATTCTGATTCTGATTGTCGATTTTCTGATTTCACAATTATATTCTTCTTCTACTACTATTTAGTTAATTAGTTCAAAATTGCTAGTAATATGTATCCTTAATTCGAAAAAAAACTAGGCGTTTTATTTTGTTCTCTATACAATAAGTCTCACGTTATACGTAATTAAGATTTAATTATAAAATAGCTAACAGTAAATAGTGGTTAAATAGCTTTGTGTCCAATATTGAATTTATGTTTTTGTAATGTAGTTTTATTAATTGAAATTAATAAATTAAATAACTAATAAATTAATAACTAATAATTTAATAAAATATTTAGTTAATTTGGTTTTTTTTTTTTTTTTTTTTTTTTTTTTTTTTTTTTTATTTTTTTTTTTTTTTTTTTTTTTTTTTATTTCCTATATTTTTTAATATAATTTTTTATATTTAACGAAATATTTTAAAAGAAAACGGCTTTGTTTCGATTGGGAAGATTAAAAAAGAAACCATTTCTTTATGTTAATTATTACATCTATAACAAGCAAATACTATGGTATCATTATATTAAATGAGAAAGTTTCTCGGTATTCTAAATAACCTTACTGATCTACAAAATGGCTACGGAGCTACGGATTTGCTACAGCAAAGCAAAAATATACTTTGACATAGTAGTTGTATATTTAAAAAGGTTTTCGTGTAGATGAATTAGTTTTGACTGTATTTGTACTGTCATATTTACTATTAAGCTCCTGATACCAAAACGGGTATTAAGGGGTAAGTGTTAGTGTCATTGCAGTTTCCAAATGTAAAGCAAATTAAATAATGTAAAGAACAAAAATATAATGTGAAATAGGGTTTTCATTTGTACCATGTCGGTTCGTGCGCAATTAATAAAATCACCCGCGACCCTCTAATTCACTGAGCGAGATATATTCTGTGTGCGAGTACATCAATCCATTCCGCTCGACTATTCGTTGCATTTAGTGACGGTTCAAAGTAAATAGATTGTTACAAATTGTACTGAATTTTAAATACAGCGTATTTTCTTCTATTAACCATACAAATATATCTTTACAAGTGTAAAAGTTTAACGATATCTATAACTAGGAGGAATGTCGATGGAAATCGCAATGGACACACCTGTTTTGTATTGCGACAGTTTGTGTGTGTTAAGAATATTTTTGTGTTTTTGGTATCTATATTTTACGGCTGCACTATTGTTTTGTTTCATTAGTATACTATGAAAGGCGAATAAGAGACAAATAATTATGTTTTGTTATAGATCTTCCTCGATTTGTGGGTCCAGGCTCCAATGTGACGGTAGCTCTGGGTCGAGAAACAACCCTCACTTGCAAGGTGGACAACCTTCAATCATTTAAAGTAAGTTTCTACTATTTCGTATATTTAATACTAGTCATTACTGATTTCACAGTTTAACCCTTACTATAGTAATATTTAGTCAAGGTACAAGGATTCTTATCTAGGAACTTGTTGATCAATATTTTATAACTGCAGCTTTACAGTATTGACAGGAACGAGCCACAATACCCGTATTGTTTATTATTTATAGAAAGTTAACGACTTAAAATACCGAAAAGTAGTTTGTGATAGTTCAGGATATTAATTAAAATATCTTATGAAAAATCCAAAGATCGCGCCACCGCGTCGTGAATATTCGGATATAAGTAGATAGTTTAATAAACATATGTCGATAAATGTAGTTGTAGATAACTTCTGAAAAATAGGCTAATATAATTTTCATACCCCGCATATCAACAAATAAATTAACCGTTAACAAGGAGATTAATCAATAGAAATAAGAAATAGTGTTCTTTATTACTTTTACATACATTTTGGATTCGGTTCTACTTCTTTAAAAATGTATTTATTTATTATATTGACTATGCATCATGATTTATTTGTCATACTACTAACATTACTCAAAATATCAAATGAATAAAGAAAAATTGATTATATAAATGTTATACGTATCTGGTACCGTCTCTAAAACCTACGAGCGCAAGATTTTTGGTAATTCAAATTGTATATTGTTTTACGCGCGTACTACATATTATGGTATTACAACTGTTCGCTCAAAAATAACTACCTGCAGGCGTTTTAGTGATATAAACGCAAATGTATTTAAATATTAACACTTTGAAAGACGATTCGAATGATTTACAGCTGTCACTTTAAATTATTAAACCTTCTCTATTTTTTACGAAGTGGACTGACGAGCACTCCCCAAACGCGCTTTGCCCCCCCCCCCCCCACCCCCTTCCAATTTTTCCCCCCGGCCCCCGCCTCCCCCCCCCTCCCTTTGAAAAACCCCCCCCCCCCCCCCTTTTTTTTTTTTTTAAAAAAAAAAAAAACGTTCTTAAATTATTAAATATATTATAAGAACGTTTTTCCTCTGAGGGATATAGTAAAAGCACTTTCGAAAATTATAGTGATAAAAACACTTAGTCACGGTGTTCCAAAGGGAAATATACTTTTATAAAGAAAAACAACAGTTGTTTTCCTCTTTATATAACATCAAAGGAAAATAAAAACTCATTAACATCAAAGTGGAGGACAAAGCATTTATCAGCTATGAAGAGACTGAATAAAACATGATCACTGGAAAATGGTAAAGGGACAAAAAAATGCCACCATTAATCACACACAGGCAAAACAGTGGCGGACCTTAATTTATAACGGAAATTGACCTTTGTGAGACGCCTTCAATAGCAGATAAAGCTCGATTTTGTAAAGCAAGTATATGCAGGCACCGCAAACATTGCTAACAATAATATAAAAACATAGGTTTCGTTTTTCATTAATTAAACTGACACAGTCATTTGATACGATCGTTTATTTTAAATAGTTTTCAATCTGAAAGCGATAATTGGTGAAAATAATTGTTTGTTCATATAATTCATTATTTTAAAGGAACAATTTTCAAAAATCAAAGGCTACGTCTAAACTCTTTAATTGGATATTGATTGCAAATGGAATACAGCTAAATAAAAATAGCATTTTATGTTGCGGGGATAGTTTTTGTGTTAGCTTGTTAGCTAGCTTGTTAGCTTAGCGTGTTATTTCTTTTTACTGGTAAATTCTTTAAGTACTTGCTCAGAATAAATTAAGTCAATATTCAGTGAACATGGACCAAAAGAACATTTAAATTTAACAAGTTCTTTACAAAACTTTTCACAATTGCCCACGTTTTAAGATCAGTCTATAACACTCCAAATAAAGCCATCTTCAAACGACATCTATGGTTCCTAATGAACCCGACATCAGGTTTTTATTTATTTATTTTAATATATTTCCAATAAACCAAACCTTAATAAAAGATTTTTGTCGATCATTTTACCTAGTACTTATAAAAGTGTAAATAACGAATTTCTTGTAAATCATATTACAATACATTCATATTTCTGGCATTAGCATGTTACGAAATTACAAAGTATGTGCTTGTAGGTGGCGTGGTTGCGAGTGGATACGCAGACAATCCTCACAATTGCTGGCCACGTAATCACCAAGAACCACCGCATCAGTATCAGTCATGGAGACGGTTCCTGGAGCCTTGTGTTACGGGAAGTGGCACCAGGCGATGGCGGACGATACATGTGCCAAATAAACACAGAGCCTATGATGAGTCAGCTGCATTTACTCCAAGTCGTCGGTAAGCGTTAATCGTAAATCTTCACAACTAATATGGTTAATCCAGATAACAGTTAATTAATGTGAAATCTTTCTAAAAAAAAGGTTATACAATGATTACTAGTAGCAGTGTTAATTGTTGAACTAGTGGGTTTAGCGTGCGACTCTCATCCTTGAGGTCGTAGGTTCGATGCCTTAGACACAAAAATTCGGCGTCGTGTGTCAAAGACTAATTACCTACTTGCCTATTAGATTGACAAATTATAAAAAACTACACATACTTATGTATTTCACAAGATACACGTTAAGAAAGTAAAGATATTATATTACCATGCAATGCAATACAACATTTTATAACTTCTTTGAATTACTTTATTTTATAAGCATGCTTTCAAATTCATATATTTTAAAGAATTCTATAAACTTGGTTTCTAACTAAATCTTAGATTCAAAACCGCTAGTTTCTCAACAAGTAACGGTAGTTGACTTTGCAAACTCATTCAGTTCAACCTCTCAGACTCTTAGATCAAGATTTTCTTTTCTATTCAAATTCAAAGTATATTCGTCAGACTACATAATTATGTTTAATGGACATTTTTATAATTATATGTACAATTAAATATGACAATAATCTTCGGTTTTGGTTGAGGAAGACATTTCTATAACTGTGACATTTTAGAACACAATGTTTCTTCAGTGCCTCCGGACATTGACGATGAAGCAAGCAGCAGGGAAATCATCATAAAGGAAGGTGAAAATGCAGCGATGCAATGTGTGGCGTCTGGTACTCCACCTCCGTCTATCGCGTGGAGGAGGGAAGACTCACGGCATTTCAAAATCGATAATAGCACCTTAGGTGAGGTACTTTTTAAGTCACAACAGTTTCCAAAAAACGGTATACAATCCCACGACGGCTACTCGATAAAAAATAATAAATACTAGTTTTTATCAACTGTTTATTTCAAATTTAAGTCAATACCTAAAAAAAAATGCTTTCTTTCATCAGTATAATGCACGTACATAATGTAGATGTCCACAAGAATTATAAAACTATTCTTCCTTCATAAATATATTCGTTATACTAACTAACTGCCTCCAATAAGTTATCTTTGAATAAATTTAAAAAATTGTAAACATAAGTTATTTTCCATCTTATTTTAAAACCCTAGATTACTTAAATGCTACTTAAAAATTAAAGTAAGAGGTAAAAGGTTGATTAATTACCAAAATAACAATAGTAAAATTAAAACAATTGTATCCTTTTAAAATGTTTTATCTACAAAAAGTCAGGAGATCGTCGTCCTCGTTTCATTGTCTTTGAGTTTTGCCAGGACATTTCATTATAAGCAGAGTAATTTGAAGTACAAATTAAAACTACAGAAATAGCTGTGCCGTTTCCTTCTACCTTATTTTTTCTTACTTTACACAAAAAATTTTATAAAGATAAAAATTGTCGCTTCAAACGGAGTATGTACAGCGGAGAAATTATATTTAACACCAAAGTAATTTGCTAATTTTGTGAAATGAAAATTATTTTACCATTTCATTAATATAGCAACGATTTTTGATTAATTTATACCTTTGTGATTAAAAACTAAGCGCATTTCTTTCCTTGGACCACAATTTCCATGATAGAACAACTAAGCTAATAATATTGCTTCGTAATTAAAAACTAATATGTTATTATTTTTTCCAATTTGTTTATTTTTAGTATTGTCTTTGATTAACATAACCTTTACACACAATAATAATAACCTTTACCACAGCGTGCGTGGTCACCGTGACCACGCACGCTGTAAAGCACGCGAAACGTCGGATAAATTTAAAATTATGTTAAATAATTGTAAATTTATAATAATACATAACTTTAATCCGGTTAAAAAGTTTTTTCTTTAATTGTTTATTTTTATTTTTTTAAACTTATGAACCGGATCTCATTGTTTACTGATGACAACAACACAACACATATTTTGTCATTTTAAAAGCAAACAGGTATTTTTATTAATTTGTATTATTTACGGCAATATCAAATATAAACAAAAATAAATATTAACAGAGAAACATAAAGCGTTTTTATGTCAGAGCCACACATGAGTTTTGTCATCGCAGAAATAAAAAAGATCTCTGAAAGCGTATTCCGTAACTCGCTATGAAAGGGTAAAATAAATTTGGTACAGAAACAGGAATAAAATCAAGTCTTTTAATGAGGACGTATTTCATCCTTTACAATGCGCTACTGAATTGCTCGGGAGCTACGTTTTGCGTACAGTTTGTATAACTTTTACATACGGTTCGGGCTGATTTTTAGTGGAAAAATCCTGAAAAAACTTTTATGCCTTTCACTAAAATATAACACAGTTGGAAAAGGCTCCCAGTGGGCAGGCTGTACGCTGTTTCGAGATAAAAATACACATATCCCAATAGCCAAATGAATTGAAGTCGTTATTGCCTAAATTAAATTATGGAAGGCATTGCACGTGACTTTCACGCGTATAAGGGTATTATGTAAAAAAGTATTTTAAATATTAATTGTTAAAAATTAGTCACAGCGCGAGTTCTGTCTTGTTTTGAAGTTTTTAAATAAATTCAATTAACTTGGTAAAGCCTCGTTATAATCTTCTACTGAATTGTTTTAAATACTTGAAATTAAATTGCTTCGCTAACTTGTTGAGAATATCATGTATAACGACATTGAAGGGGGATTTAAGTTTTAATATGCCTTTGGACTGTAAAGCTAAAGTTATATTTAAACTTTGATGTTTCAGGTTGAAGAAATACATACAGACTCAAGCTAAGCAGCGCCTTAATGCGAACATCTAATAAATGTTGTAACATATTATTTTGGCAGCGACAACTATTTGTTAATTACTATAACGTTACATTGCACTTTGTGAAGCTGTTATAAGACTTTTTGCCCATCGAAATGTGTTAAGCTCATGTAGGGGTAATTTGGAATTGGTCCAAGAAGACAAAAATGTTTAGATAGCTTAATCGATAAAGTACAAAACGTACTGGGCACTTTACAAGTTCAGGGGTCTATTACATACTTTATTTAAGGGTTGGTTGTTTAATATTCCTATTCTTATGTTTCAATTTCGTCTATATGGCCATCAAATCAAAGTAAATGAATTTCACAAAGTATAGTTGTGATTATTTGTATCATTGATCCAAATACCTAGTTTAAACGGACGTAATCCTGGATACAGTTTTCACGAATATGATTCTAAGGAAGATCAAAGTATACAATTAATTATTTCATAGTTTATTTGTTTTATGTTATTTGATTGGATTAAAACGAATATAATCTCGGCGAAATATACGAAATCGACCAATCATCAAAGTTCATCCGCACGAAATACAATAAATATTAGGCAATGAATTATAACAATATCTGTGTGCAACCGTATAATTACTGTGTGAGTAATACAAATTCCGAGTATGATGCCACAAAAAGTGTCGCCGGGAACTATAACGACGGGAACAAAGGAAAGTTTAGCGCAAATTGAATGTACAGTATTTGCTTTAAATGAACTCGGGCTTGCGGAATTACGAGTTTTATCATAACTTTGCCTCAATTTGACCTAATTAAATATTTCACAATGATAAAGTACACTAACGGTGCCCACTAAACTTTAACTAATTACGTTTAGACTTTATAATAGGTGCTGTGGTGAGGCCCTGATTAGAAATTAAAAGTGTAATTGTTTATTAAATCATTATGATTGTAATTAATTAAAACAACGGTTTTAATATTATAAAACATGGCTACGTTTATATACATAATCATTGTTATTTATAAAATAAACGTACTGACATATTAATCTCACGTTAATATCGAATTCATAATACCGATTTACCCAAATACACAAATAATTCAATTGATATCTTAAAATTTAGCAAAATCCTCACGTAACACACGTCACACAATCATCCATTTAAAGCAATACTCGTTTAAATGTTGAAATAGAAAATAAATCCGGTAGAATCCGGATTGCTAGAACCTTCTTACAATTCGTGCATTTCAGTGCAAAGACGACGTTTGTATCCGTAATCCTATCAACTTGATTTAGTTCACTCTCGACCGTAAACAAGCTTTTCGCGTCAGATAACTCTAAAAACTGATCGAGAGTTGTAGCAATCGCTTCAAAGGTATAGCCAACTATTTCTTTTAATTTTTTACCCTAGTTGAGTATCGAAATTTGTTACTGTTCCAAGTTCCAAGTTGTTTAGAAAACAGTTTCTACGTAAATGTTTTAACGCTACTGTATGTTATATGTTAAATTTAATTTAACAAGTAATGTAACGTATTAATTCAAACGCACAAAGCGGGTGCGGATACAGATAAGGACAATTGTGACGTACCATAGATTAGAGGCATCGTGCGGCCCTTTGCAAAAATAATACATAATGTGAACTCTTTAGTAAACTTCGCAATGAAGATTTATATTATTATAGTAAGTAATTACTACTATAATGACTTTTTGATAATTTTTGGGTAAATACGTAATAATATAATGTCATGCAAGACATATTTTAGATTGGATAAAACTTGATAAAACAATATCTCGTAAATGTAAATAGCAATTTTAATACATAGCAATATTAAATATAATTTGGAACAGCATTTCAAAGTACGACGGTGTGTAAATATCGTTGATTTAAATGCAATCTGTGGCGTAGTGAAGTAAATAAAGCATTGCAATTCGAGGGTGAAAAACTTTAGAGCATTGTAGGTTCTTGGTATGTAAATGTGAATGCAAGTGCTGAATGCAAAGTGAAACATAAAACTCCGGCTCTGAGAGCCGTCGAATTGTATTCTGTAAATAGTGAAGTGTTTTTTTCATTCTTTGTTTATAGTGCATTACTTTTAATTGTGCCTGGAGAGGTATTGCGGTGCACCAGTTACCGTGGATTTTTACACTTGTGTATGATTTTGACGTAGTCATTAAAATTATATGGCTTTTTTTTTCAAAAACAACTTTTGACCCTTGCGTTTTTTTAAATGTAACTAAGTACAGTTATTTGAGTCTATCTAATTATGTTTTACCTACTTTACATAAAGGATATATATTATTCGTCTTGTTTACATTTGTAAACAAGATACGAAAGCTCGTTGCCGAAAAATGTTCCCGCTCACTTAATGTATGGAGCACATTAAGATACCATTTTGGGACATCGCTTACGTCCCGCTGACGAATAGCAGCTTTGTTGCTCGGTTAACTTTAAAAACATTGTATACTTTTAAACCCAGAAATAGAAAACCTACTGAAATGTGCTAAGCGTTAGGTTAGGACTAGATAATGACGTTGGTTTCTAGGTCAAAAACATCGTATGTATTATAAACGACTAACCTTAAAACTATATTTCAGAGCTCAGGCGTCGAGAATGACTCCCGTAGTTACGAAGATACCATGTCAATAAAACGATCCAGTTTAATCATAATCAATTAATCAAGTTTATAGCTATCACTAAGGCTTTCGCAGATTTATAATTAATTTTTGATTATATAGCTTTGTTCTAAAAATAAGAATATAGTCCAATGTATATTTTCAGTTTCGAAATCAAGCGGTGAATGGCTGAACCTGACAGGCGTGGAGCGAGCAACGTCGGGAGCCTACTTGTGTATAGCTTCTAACGGAGTGCCACCATCAGTCAGCAAGAGGATCATATTGCATGTTATTTGTGAGTATTTAAAAAATAATAAGAGTTTTTGTAACTTTGTCGATTTTTGGGCCTTATATTTAGGATAAGCTTTCTTCTCGGTAGAAATGTGCAAAAACTAACAGCAGAAGGACCTATAATACCACCGGTTTCACGAAGGCCAGCCTTCTAAACCTGCACTGATACTCTTTAACTACCAAACCCTACGTTTTTATGTGAAATTTGCTTTGGCAACGCACGGTACAATTACTCAACATCGCGAACGCTATCGCTGTTCTAAGTTACAGAGAGCTCTGCATCTTGCCGTTCAGTTTACAACATAGTTCCCTATTTTAGAGTTAAAATAAGATTCTTTTGGAAGTATTCGAATTGTAAAGTAACAACTTCACGCCAATTTTGTGAAAGCAGTCTCGTAGTCTTATATTGCAATGCTCAGCAACAATATAACTCTCTGATGTTATAACAAACGTTAGAAATAGAATCTAGGTTACATCTCGTACTAAGGTAATAAGCTTCTCAGCCTCTCAGGGAACTCGAGATTCACAATAAGATTATTTATTTTCAAATGTACGGCATGTGCATGTGCATAATATATTTTACTCTTAGTTCATTAAAATATTGTACATTACTACATGAGATTTTCATCTGTACGTATACGAATTGCAGAATCGATATTTTAATTTAGTATAAGAAACTTAAACGGTTTTAAGTTAACAAAAACAAAAGCGACTTTTAATAATAGTTGAAAAATATTTTTGCTAATTTAATAAACACATTTAGTATCACATTGATGTTTATAATTAAGAGGGTAGTCCACCAATAAGGTGAGGGTGTAGTTGAGTAATGAATGAGGCCTAATGTGAGCAACAAAACATGAAATACGGTGGTTAATTAAACCCTTGTCAATTACGTCCGCTATTTGCATTTTTATCCGCTCTTCATTTGATGACAAGTGGCCCAAATTAGAATTAAACCAATTTGACAGCGATTGTCAGGGAGTTTATAATTTTGTATTGTGTATTTTTTATGTTTTAGCAGTATTTTTAGTAATGCATAGTAACTTACGACAATTTATTAATTTAAATAAATATTACAGTCGCCCCATCAGTATGGACAGGTCGTGTTGCTATTCGCGCTTTGTCAGGGACTGCTGTTTCCTTGCAGTGTACTGCGGAGGCCTATCCGGTGCCGCAGACTTACTGGGTGCTCAATGGAGAACAGAGACTTGTCAATGGTAAGTTGTTTATCCATATTTTATTACAGGATTATACAAGAGACCAAAAAGACATGTTTTCACATTACACACGCATGAAGTCCTAACTACCCTCAAGTCATGTTTGATGACGCAACATTCATTTGTCATTCATTGTCTGGCCGCCACGCTGGCCGGACGCCAGCGCTCGACGCGGTGATTGATACCCAAGGTACCTCGTTATTTACTCGTTTCAATATCAAATTGACTTTACCATTTCCTGAATCCAAGCCAAAATCCAAGAGTCTTCTTGAGATATATTCTGTGTCAAAACTATTTTTAATCTAAATTTTAGGTCTAAATTTCAGCTTTCTACACAACAAGTACATTTAGCGCACAGAAAAAGAAATATCGATGGCTACTCACCCTAGGTTTAAATGCACGCTCAACAATTAGTGGATAATAACATCTCTACAAAACATGTGGAAAAAGTATGCGACTTATTTAAAATAACAGTATTGTAAGAAGCTCTAATACAAGATGTTATCGCAATAAAAACTTATAGTCCGCCATGGAATCTTTCTTTAATTCTCTTAGATTATAGTTTCATATTAAGGAAACTTGTTAAAGTATCGTAAAACCCGATAAAAAACAAGACATTCCAATTACAATAAAATACAAGTAAAGTTGAAACAACCAATTCAGAGATAGGGAAGTTAGCAAACAAAATAGTTGTGCCTATAAACCGTATACAATGCGAGCTGTTCCGACGCCAGGCTATTATTTGTGACGCCTTTGTATGACCAGAACCCGCTACACTCGCCTACTCCGACCATTGTAGTCGGCCAAATGTCCGGGGGCAAGCTTATGTTACACTTTAAATGTTACACAAGTTTTACAGAGTCTAACAAAGACGAAACGGAAATATCATATGCGCTTTTTGAATGATATTGGACTTGTCATTAGAATAAAACGTTATTTAATGTTTATTTCACTATTTATAATAATAATAAATATACAAATAAAATGTTGCTATTTGTAAAAATTCTAGCTTTGGCCTGTCACGGACAAAATGGTCTAAGTTGATAAAATTATCTAAAAGGGAAAGAATTATTAAAATTATAGTATAGTAAAGTAAACAAATGCATTTTTGCATTCATTAAATTATAATATTCTTTATTTTAGTATAGATAAGCTATAAAGTAACAGTGGATTTTAGCATATGTATGGAATGAAAAAAAATCTAGTTATTTAATATATCAAGGTTAATATTAGATTAATATTAGGTTATATTAATTTATTAGGTTAATATTAAAGTACGCTATCCTAGGTTTTATAAACTCCATTACCGGCTAAATAGCTTCTTGCATTTTCTTGACAAGATATCCGCGCTCTGAAATATTTTAATCAAGGTATAGTTATGTTTTATCTTGTTTATTATTATTAAACCAATTTTGAGAGTACAAATAGTTCTTTGTGTCGTTATAAGATTTTTTAAGTTCTTAGTAATTAAATTAGTGTTTACTTTTTATGATATTAAATTGACTCCTGAACGTAAATAAATCTGCCTTTACAATATAAGTTTATTACATCAAACTTTTAACATTTTCGTTTTACAACTTTCAATTCATGCCACTAATTATAGTATCTATAATACCTATTTGCTGGAAGACGGAATATGACAACCATTGTTATAAATAATGGTCTTATGTATATAGAAAATGAACACAACGTCATGATATACATAAAACATCGGTCTTCAACTTGTTTTATTATCCCTAAGGAACAAAGTACCGCCACTCTCGATCATCTCGTGGGTACCGTCACACGGCGACGCTTGTGGTGAGCAACATGTCACGCGATGACGCCGGCTCGTATCGTTGTCATGTCGAAAATTCCGCTGGCAAGGCCTATGCTGATGTATTTCTGCACAGTTAGTATATTTACCTCTTAATATTATATTTTATAGGCTTTAAATTAAGCTATTCTTAATGTGTCTTATGTTTCTCACTAAATTAAATTTTAATAATTGAGATTACTTTGTCCGGATTTATACCTGTATAGAGACTATAATTCTATAAAATAAATTCAGGATAGAATTTTCAAACATTGTTTATAGTGCTTACTACAACAACGACGACGACGACAACCACAACAACAACTACAACTACAACCACTACGACAACAACACCACCGACGACGTTATTACCTTGTGAGTTTTATTGATATAATATGTCAAATAAATGTTTATATAGAATAAATATTATATAACTTCTATTAAATAATTCCTTATTTCCTTTTCTTGTATTTAACGGTTTGAGTTGCCTTTTTTATAAATAATTAGATATTTGTCCCCGACCTTAATGAGTACCAACGTATAGTATATACTTATACAACACACATTCAGCCTTACAACATAAGTGTTGATAATGGTTAATGGTCGAAGGAGAATCAATACACACATGTATCTTATTTGATAACAACCCCTTTGCGTGCTAAAATTCAAAAGAACAAATAAGCAATAAACCGTGTGCGTATAAAGGCTTATAGAGAGCTTGTTTATCGCGAAAAGGTTCACAATTTACACTTCCAATATGTTAAAGTATTCGTCCTTGGGCTTAAGCACTTTGCCGATGCTTATCATAATATCGATTTCATTCTTCCGAATCTTGTTAGGCCCTTAAGCGGCTCACAATTTCAGCTTTGCTTTTTGTCTCAGCATTTCTTTTTAGTATTAACAGAAATGTGTTACTATCTTCAATATTATGGTTGAAATTTATGGAATACGACATTATTTTGTCTTTTTATTTTATTTACTGAATTATTCTGTCCCTCATAAATCTATTAGACATATCCATTAGGTCGAGCACTCTTAACCATTTCTTTTATCCGGAACGGAGTCACTGATATGTGATAAGTATTACATAATATCGTATGTATATAATGAACTGATATTCTCAGTGCAGTACATACGAAAAGGATAAAATAGTTTTTATATGGTTCCATTTCGTTTCAGTCGTAGAAAGCCACCTGGAGCAGCAGCCTCGCGAGGTTCTGGAAGATCCTGCTCTCGAGGATTCCTACGTGGTTTTAAGCCAGCACCAGATGCAAAATCTCGGTATGGATGTAGATAGTACCTAAGCTATATGTGTTGTGGTTCTTGTAGAAAATTATATTAAAAGTTTTACAAGACGATCCGGTTTAATGTTAAATACATTTTAGTCACCTTCGCCCTTATGAAACTTGGCATGATAACCTAAAATAAGTGGAGGCGCTGTCCAATGTGTCCCGTATACATTTAGTTTTATTGTTTCAGAAATGATAACAACAATGTGACCGTCGAGTGGGGGGCATGCAGAGTCCCCATGGGCAAACGGTTGGCCCCCCCTCCACGACTCTTCGGCAATGATTGCGCCCGCGGCAGCCTTAGTGGCCACTATGCTGGCAATGATGGCGTGATGCCGGCTCGGACAATGGCCGTCCTGCCTGTGCTTTTAGACTAAAATGTCCCATTGTTTGTGATAATTGTGAATTATAGTGACTGGCATTTAATATTTTAAAATTGTTTAAAAAATATCCGACAAGTATCATTTTTCTCAGACCCCATTTAAAAAATGATTACATGTGTTATCGTTTATATTATGTAATACGGTAATTATTATTTACCTAATTATAGAGATAGTCGTAAGATAAGTACCTCCTTGTTTTTGATAAAAGAGTGTAAACACGACAAATACAACAACGACTGTAAAATGTATCATTTTTAATTGTTTTGTATGAAAAGTATCATTTAATATGATAATTAGAAATTCTAGAGTAACAAATTCTTCTAAGCGCTGTAAATAATCTTGCACTAAGTACTCATATCATCACGCTACTATATGTCTACTGGATTTAATTAAAATATGCAAAGGCATATAAATAGCTAATTTGTTTATTTCAAATACATGTTCATGTTATTTAGAAAAATCTGTGTAAAAATAAAAAATATGTCAAAAAAATTATTTGACTTTTTTATGGCAAAAATTCTGCCGTAATTGTTTGTTTAACCAAAAATAATATTTTTGAATGAATACAATTAAACAACTTATATTTCTTGAATTAAATTATAATTATTATTTACAATAATCTTTGAACCTCTTTGTAAAACTATCTGTAATTGTTTTGTTGGATGAAATAAATTTTTTGAAACTAAGTAATATGTTTTATTCCCTAAAAAAACCAGTTCTCAGTATTTAACACATTCATATAATAATACTTAAGTTTGTAAAATTAACTTCTATGAACAAAAATATAGCATAAATCGCACGCACTATTTTGTTACTTGCCAATGGTTAATCTATACATTTACGAAACATAAATACTCTTTTCAGCAAACACGAGATAATCGTATTAACTCTATTTTTACGTTGTAATAATAAAAAAGCCTAAAAGCATCACAATATTGTGTGAGAGCGGTAATATTTTACCGACATGTAATCCCATGTATCGGGGTCAATAGATCCCTTCGTCCCAGACACAAAACTGTTTTATTACATTCGCTTGGATCTCTGCTTAGACATCAAGTATTAAGAAGATTTTTAATTAAGTTATTAATAGTAGTATTTAAAAGAAAGTATTATATTACAGTGTATTACTACACTGAAAACATATTTTCAAAAGTTGGTCGACCTCTCTAGAATAGTCGGTTGAAGTAGCAAAAATCATAACAATGAAAGCAAATACGTATTCAAAAACACGCAGCAACAAAAGAGAATTAACATCAGGACGAAATCACTAAAAGCGGAACAAAATAATTAGAACACTGTGCAAAAAGCAACGTGTTGTTGAAGATAACAAAACATCGCTACAGGGTTGATACAATTTGCATCGATTGTTCCCAACGTCTCCGCTTTACAGCCACTAGTGATGTACGGCTTTGGAAGAACCCTGCAAAATATAATGACAATTTATAATAGACACTTATGCGCGGGCTTAGCAGAGAAAGCATTGGATAAAGGTGGATAGAATGCTTAATAGCTGTCACTGCAGACTTATACGTTTTCTCGAGTCTAAACGAGGTAAAATCATATTGCATTGTACGTGTAGCTCAGCGTGTCATTAAAGGCTCAAGAAGTTCTAGAAATAAATATTCTCATTACTATATATAGCTCTGAATACAGTACTTGAACTATCAAGCAATACGAATATACTATATCATTTATTGGATTGGTTAAAAGTTAAAATGTTAAATGTTAATGTTAAATGTAAAACTGAATAAAGAAATGTAAAAATACTAATGTAATCTTTGCCCAACACTACAACTAATTAATCTGAGCTTGCATTTTGCGGGCACCCTGTAATGTTGCGCATAAAATTACAATAAACTAGAATTATCTTCGGCTAATGTCTGGAGGTGCTTATTTATTGCACCTGCTCCTTGCTAGATACATCTGTGAGCATCCGCCGCCTCCTAATGTGCCTTTTTGTTAGGTCTTTCCAAAGAACTGCTTAAAAAACACACTTTTAACGTATATATTCGTAATTGGGCCAGTTTGTTATTTTCTTATTTTTTCTTTAATTAATTATTTATGTATAGTGGGATATACTTCTTATAAACATATTGTATGAAATCCGATGTTTTTAAACTACCTTACTATGTATGGCCTGAATTTTTGAAGGCAGACAAGGGCTAATAAACCGACAACGTAAAGTGCAACGGATATTAAATAATAACTTTTCAAGCGGTTCCTGCAACATTATGCACGTCCAATTAAATTTAACCAAATACAAAATCCCTCATTTCTGTAAAAGGTTCATTGTAATCTGACAGCACGGATTTATTATCTGTGAAATTATCTGAATGCGAAGTCCAGTTGAAAGTGTGTAATTATCGACACGGAAAACATTTTGTCGATAATTTTCAAAATTAAATGTGGTTCCATTTAATTACACATACCTATTTGGGCGTAACCAGAAATGCTACCTTGGTGTATCGTTACGTAATCATTAATATTTTTTATCCCATTTGGTTTACGCGTCTACGTCTTTAAATAAAACTTTTATTGTATCATCGTGATTTTATTATTCTTTTACATAATTTGATGTTCGAGTGTTATATAAAAACTGCCGCATCACACGACATCTCGGTGACAGATAGCATTACCTATACAATGCAGCCTTTTTTTTTTATTGGGTAGACTAATTATATCCAACAAAATAAAAAAGCTTTCACACGTGTACAATATTTAAAATGCTCTGAAGTTTGATTATTATATTATAGTATATTTTACTGTACCGAGAAATACTTTTGAAACCACTTGGTAAAGAAATATAGTATACGTAACTTATACGTACAATTTTCAAAGAGTTATAAAAATGCACGAAATTAAAACATAATTCCACTCGGAAATCGATAAAACTAATTACTACAATTAACCATCCTTTTTATTACTCAAACATCAATTTTACAGTCCAATCACAAATAATTTCTAAATAGCATTTGAGTTACTATCGGGAGGCCTACTCGATCTAGCATTGATGAGTCAGCGTTTCCAATCAGAATTGTGGTTATTAAACTCTTGGGACGGGTCGGATTTTTCCAATGTGTGTAGAACGCTTAGCTGAGGTTTATTGGAGCAAGCAAATGCTGACTTCACCTGCACTTAGTTTTAGGTCGATGTTAAATTGTATTTCATTTTAGAGCGGAACCTTATTTTTTACTTAACCTAAAAACCAGTTATATTATTTATTACATGCTTTTTTGAAGTACCTTGGTGCTACTACCCTTGATATCTGTGCCTACTTTTAATAATAATAAATCCACTTTAATTGCATACCATTAAAAATTACATTTCAAATGGGTGTTAGTTTTGTTATTAGACTGTAATTGTACGTAAGTTATTGTTATTTGTGTTCTGCAGTATGGACTCCTTGTGGGTAAAGGCCTATTCCTGAACTTTCCATTTGCCTCTGTCATTTGCTTTTGTGGTCTTTCCATATCTCTCTTGTCTTGAGATATTCAGCAGGTGGGTTTGGCGGTCCATCTTTTATCAGGAAACCTTGCGATTTCCACGAGAATGTACGTGTGTGCTCCTATTTCACCATGCCGCCCTCCTGCTGATTGAGGACAAATCTTTGTTTGTAATTTATTTTGTTATGATTAATTACTTAAAATGTCATATGTAACATGGTGTAATGGTTGTAGCTCCTTACAAACGTTGTTGAAAAAAACTTGGCGATTAAAAAGAGTGCGGAGAGTTTATTGCCAGTTCTTCTCTTCCGTTCTACGACCTTGATTTGAGAACTGGCAGTAAATGTAAAATTTGAAGCATTTCTTATGTATCTTTTTTGACGTTCATAAGTGTACATTGTGTTACCAATATGAATAAATGATATTGTATTTTGAATTTATGGCCGGCCCATTCCCATTAAGGCGTGGGCTATGTCTGATTACTAAATCATTTTTATTTATAAGTCAAGTACCAAGTATTAGTAGGTGATCAACCATGTAAACCTGATACATGCAGTCAATTTTGGGTCCGAAACGTCCTGGTTTCTTGCTAACGTAAGAGAAATTATTAATTTCATACATACATATTAGTGCCCGCCGGGTTTTAAACTTAGGACCTCAGGGTAAAAAGTCGCGTACCAAGCCACTAGGGTAACCCTGTTCTGGTGCTGTATTATTACCCGTAATATACAAATTAAAACTAAATTTAACATTTTCATTTGAAGAGATTTGCCAAAAATTAATAATAACTTTAACTTTGATAACAGCCATTTGGAGTCAATAACTTCACGCCTTTACGAAATTGTTAAAGTTGGTTTAAAACTTAGAACATTATTGATTTTCAACTCTTTGCTAACCACTTCACAACGTGTATTAGTTTATTATACCTATAATAGAAAGAAAATATTGGAAAGGAGACTTCTGAAAATAAGAAAGAAAGACAGAATAAGTAATAACATACAACTTAAATGGATGTGGGCAGGACACTCAGGCAGACATAAAGACCAACGACAGGCCCCACTTTGCGAAAAAAGCTTTAGGAGACTGGCAGCGGATGTTTTTTTTTTTTTTTTGAAAGGGATCTCGCTGTTGGCCTTTAGGGCCTTGACAGCTCAGCTCGGGCTGTTTTGGCGAGCGTAGCTCGACCAGAATGAGCGTTTTTCCCGCGACTAGCGCAAGGGCGTCTCCTGTGAGACTCGAACCTCGGCTTGGGCCGTCACGGGGTGGTCAATCGCCTGAAGGGCAGGACGGAAACTCACTGGAGTGAGCGAAGTGCGAAGTAAAGGTCCTCGCCTTCCCCGGTGAAGGCGGTTTTTAACCCTAATCTGTGTCTGAATACTTTGAT